TGCTAGGGAAACATTTCTTTCCTGGGTAACTGCTGAATACCTTGGTACTACAATTTCTAGGAACACATTATTCCTTAATTGGATATCTGCAAAATCCCAAGGTCACCACATTTTTAGACACACAATCATCTCTTACCTGGTGATTTGCAAAATTCCTTGTTCAGTATCACGGTTAGGATCTCTGTGATCTCTTAATTACTGGCCTACAAAATTTCATCGTAACTTTCATGGTTAAGGGGACCACCATCTTTTTACTAAACCCCTGACAATCCCATGGTTATTTTGTGATTAGGTTTGCCATCATACCTGGAATACCACAAATTGCCACATTCACTAACATGGGAAGGGGCATCATCAGCTTCTTCATGCCTACCTGAGCAAACTCAATTTTGGTAGTCAAGTTAGGACCACCAACCTCACTTATCTGGATATCTAGAAAATAACATGGTCACCCCCATGGTTAAGTTTATCATCATTTCTTAACTCTGTAACTTCAGTATTCTATGCTCACTTCCTAAGTAGAAACACTCATTTGTTACCTGGATATTTTAAAAATTCCAGACATTACCATGGAGATGGTCACTGTCATCTTTTCACTCTATAGCTGCAAAATCCCATGGACACTACCATGGTTAGGGACAGGCCCATCATCTGTTTTTGCATTCCTTCAAAATACCATGATCACTACAATGATGAGAGCCATGATCATCTCATACCTGAATCACTACCAAATCCTAGGGTCCATAAATCTCCTGGAGAGACCTCAATGCTGTCCTCACGCTCTGACTTCTGCCTGCCTGAACCTGAAACTACAAGTGTGACCAACGCCTCTATGGACACAGCTTTTCCACCAGGACCCTGCAAATCACCTGCTCAGTATAATCACTGTGGGAGTCAAAAATGTATCTGGATGCTTGTGGGCTCTCCAGGGTCTAGGCCATTGTAGGACACGCTATTTTTCCCTGGCCGGCTTCCCTGCAAATCCACCACAGTTACTCCTGTGATGCACAATGCCACATGAGTTCCCTGCGTACATGCCAATCAATCAGCCCTCACAGACCACATACATCATACATTCTTTCCAGGGCAGAAATCAATAGGATCACATGGTGAGGAGAATGGAGAGCCGCTACTCTTTCTTACCAAAATACCTGTTAACCCATCACATGATAAACCCTTCAGGCAAAGGAACCTCGCTTACCTAGGTATGTGGAGATCGCCTGGTGTGTGGTGAGTTTACCGCGAACACCATCACTTACCCAGATAGCAGACATGTTCCCTGATCCTGACTCCTGTTTGTCGGGATTTCCTTGTGGGACCCTGGAAAACATACAGAGATATATGCCTTGAAAACACATAAAGTGTTCTCACAGGACACATGCAAATCACAATGCTTGCATCCATGATTGAAGGACTCTTACTTGGATGCTGGCAGGGTCCCCCAAGCTCAGGGCCGCAGGCCCAGAAGACAGCATTTCTCTCTACAGGACACCTGCAAAATGTCCACGGTCATCGCTGTGGCTGGGAACGCCAGATCATTACCTGGTATTTGCAGTCCCACTGTACTCACTGGGTTAGACGTTGTCTCTGAAATAAGCAGAGGGAAATCTCACGGTTTCTAGTGAGCCAGGGACACTTGTCAATTCTGACAGGGACACTTGAAGCGAAATCATGGGAACAACAGGAACTATGCACACCATCTTCACTTACCTAGACACCTGAACTTCAAGTGGCCCATGCGTTGTTTTTGGTCCTCAGGCAGCCTTGACTTGCAGAGCAACCCTGCTTCCTGATAAGGACCCCCGTTGGATTCACTGGGATGCCACGGCAGGAATCTGCAAGAGGCACCAATACATACGTGTAAGAAGACATGGGGTTTTCTGCAAAGACTCCCACAAAGTCCCATGATTACTTCCATCTTTATGGGGCACACCCACTCGATGTGTATAGCTGCAGTAATCTCAGGTCAACCCTGATAGCAGAAAACCACCGTTTCTCAACTGCACATCTCTAGAAATCGGAGGGGTAGCACAGATGGGGAACACAGCGATAAATACCTGGCTCCCTGCAATCCCTCAACACTCACACGGTTCAGCATATACTTTCATAAAACGAGAAAACCCAGCCTATCTAAGAGTGGTGAAAACTAAATCATTTCTTATCTGAATACATGGAAAAGAAATCACGGCGGGAAGATGTGTAGGGACACACCATCACTGAACTAAGCCTCTGTGACAGTACGACGCTGTGGGCTGCGGTTTAGGCCTGTGTTAGCACTTACCTCAGCCAGCAATGCCCCACGTTACCTAGCTTTGAAAGGCCTGCTGTGATGTCCGGACATTCATCTGAAAGACATACTGGGGAAACTCTGCTTGGTCCACAACCTATGCTACGAGGACACCCACAAATATGCTTGTTCATTGGTATCATTTCACAACTCATCCAGGTTACCCAGATAACTGAAGATATCTAAGCCAGAGCCTACGAGGCATACCTGGAGAAACAGCACGGTCCACATCGGGGTGACAGACAATATGATCAACTACCTGAGCACTGGCATATCCGTTTATCACATGGAGAGTCAAATTTGCACACACACACACACACACACACAAACCCTTACCTTTGAATAAGCAAACAGTAAAATCTCATGCTCACTGGCATTGGGAATCACTAATTATCTTTTCCCAATGACACATATGCCAAACACAAGGTTACTCTACCAGACTCAAACCATCATTAATTATCTACATGCAGGAAATTCAGAGTGCCTTTCATGAGGTAATGCCACAACATCTCTTACCTCTCTACAGGAAGAGGACTTTATGGGACACCTGCAGGAAACCATGGGAAAACACTGTGTCAAGGACAGTGCCCTCTTTGTCCAGGAAATCTGAAGTTCAGGTGGTCTGTATTGGCATAGCACTCATGTCATCCATTACCCGGTTACTATCCAGGGCCTCCGAATGGCCATTCTCAGACCCACCTTGATCTCATGACTAGCAGCAGCAGAAGAAACGCATCTGACAGGTGTTTTCCAGGATGCCACTTGGCATACCTGAAAGACGAAAAAGACACGCATCACACAGGCTGGTCACTGCTGTCATCTAGGAACCTTACCTAGATCCTGGCAGAACTCCAACTTCCACCCCACTGTTGGCGCCACTATCAGCTCTGGACTGATGATGTGTCAGAACTATCATTCCATCCTGTGGTCTGGTAGAGTAGGATAATTCACCTGGACACCCGCATCTACCGCAGTCAACACGGACTCAGGTTCAAGGCACATTATCCTCAAGTCGAACATAGCAAGGACAAATGCTTATTAGCCTTGGTTGGCAAAGCATTGTTTCTTAACTGAATTACTGCATAAAATAAAGAACAGAAAATGAGCCAAGAAAACCCACAGCAGGACAGGAAAAATAGTAGGAATGCCATTGGTGATTACCTGTGTATCAGAAGATTGGATCATCCCTGGCCTGCTTATGCCCATACTGTCTCCTCTCTGGATACAGGCAGAGTTCCCCTGCTCGAGCATAATGAGGGTTCCCTTGACCTCTGGAAGGGAATGTGAAATCTGCCTACAGACACAGCTTTTCCAGCAGAACCCAGAAAACCACCCGCTCACTAACAGTGTTGTGGGGGCCAAAAATCTACCTGGATGCTTGTGGTCCCTCCAAGGGGTAGGCCATCGTAGGACACATCATTTTCTCTGGTTGTCTTCTCTGCAAATTCACCTTAGTTACTCCTGTGATGCACAGTGCCACTGGAGTTCCCTGGGTACGTGCCAATCGATCAGCACTCACAGGGTACATACCTCATACGTTCTCTCCAGGACAGAAAACAATGGGATCACATGGCAATGAGAACAAGGAGCCGCTACCCTTTCTTACCGGAATACCCCTAAACCCATCACGTGGTAAACCGTTCAGGGAAAGGAACCTCACTGACCTACCAATGTGAAGATCAGGTTGTCTGTGATGAGTTTACGGTGCACACAATCACTTACCCAGACAGCAGACACATTCCCTGTTCATGAGTCCCATTCTTCAGGATTTTCTTCCGGGAACCTGGAAAACATATACTCAGATATATGCCTCAGAAACACACAAGGTGTTCTACCAAGACACCTGTAAATCATGATGCTCATATCCATCATTGAAGGACTCTTATCTGAATGCTAGTGGGGACCCCCAAGCTCAGGGCCGTGGTTCCAGAAGACAACAGTTCTCTCTACAGGACACCTACAAAATGTCCATGGTCACTGCTGTGGGAAGGAACACCGGATAATTACCAGGTATTTACGGTTCCACTGCAAACACAGGGTTAGGCATTGTCTCTGAAATACGCAGAAGGAAAACTCACAGTTTCTAGTATGCCAGGGACTCATGCCATTTCTTTCTAGGACAAATGAAGTGAAATCATGGGAACAACAGGAAGGATGGACACTATTACCACTTTCCTAGACAGCTGAATGTCATGGGGCTAGTACGACGCTTTTGTTCTTCATCTGCACTGTCCTGCAGACCAGTGTCAGATTTTGTGATGTCACAGTAGGAGTCTGAAGTAGGCTCCAAGACATATGTGTAGAAGGACACAGGGTTTCCGCCAGACTCCTGCAAAGAACCTTGATTACTTCCAGCTTTATGGAACACATTCCCTCGACCTGGATACTTGCATTAATCCTAGGTCAACCCTGATAGCAGAAAACCACCATTTCTCGACTAGATACCTCTACAAATCCTAGGGCAAGCGTGGGGTGGGAAATACAGTGATAAACGTCTGGTTACCTGCAATCCCGCAACACTCAGAGGGTCAGAACACACTTTGGATGAAAGAGAAAATGGGAAAACCCAGTGTATCTGAGATTGGTTAGGACTCAATCATTTCTCACCTGAACACCTGGGAAAAAGTCATGGCAGGAAGACGTGTAAGGACACGTCATCAGTGAACTACTCTCTGTGACAGTCCCACGCTGTGGGCCTTAGTTTAGGCCCGCATCAGCACTTACCTCCGCCAATAATGTCCCATGTTACCTAGTTTTGATAGGCTTATTGTGATATGTTAATGTAAATCTGAAATATATATTGTGAATAGTGTGACTGGTACACATATCATTCTACCTATATACCTCCAATGTTTTCTGGTCATTTTTATTTTTGTATTCATCAAATGTACCTCGATACTTGTAGAAATTTGAGGAAAACTCCTTTTAAGAATCCTTGTACTTTCTTGATTAGATCCCTGCATAATTCCTGTTGTTAATTTCATGGTGTTGCACAACATGATCAATTACCTAGATGCCTGTGGATTTGTGTAGCCCTGTAAGTGTTCAATACTCATTATCTGTCAAGACATGCAATAAATTCTCCTGATTATTCGGTATTACTAGAGGCGTATTTATTTTTAACTTCATAAATGTGAAACACAAGTTTAAGTTAATACTGTGAAAAACACTAATAAAGTTGATATCTGAAAATATCAAGCTGTTTTACATGTTAATACAACCTTACCTGGTCTCCATATACTAGCCCAAAAACCTGAATAGATTACCTACAAAATACACAGTAGCTTAAGCATCAGGGATCCCTTTTCACGTACCTAGAAAATCCAATGCTCTGCATTGTGTAATTACCCCCATTACAGGAAGCAAACAGTTATTACTACCTGTTTACAAGCAATGTTTCATTACTGAGCATTATGTGATTCACCTCATAGTTTTGATAAGAACCTGAAAATCATATAAGACAAATGTGCTTCAGGTCACAACTTGTTCTCCCCGGGCACTTGCCTACAACCTTGTAATGCTTCCATTATTTTGGAATACACATCAACTCTACCTAGACACTTGGTTTAATTCAAGGTCAGCACATCTTTGTTAGAGACACCATCATGGGTGGTGATAATTGCACAGCTGATAATATCCCATGGTTGCTACTCTGATGGGGAGCTACAAGACATTTTCAAGGACACATGGAAATCATTGACCACTCACCTGGTTAAATGTAAATTTTCTGTGAAATACAAACTCTGTGATAACATGCCTGCTAGAATTAACAAAATACTATCATGTTTTGCCTGAATATATACCAAAAATCAAATGGTAAAACTTACCTAGATATAAAAAAATCAGATGACTCATGATGGGTTAGGGTGTGCATCATCACTTACTTAGACCAGAAATGTCTTTACTGACATCCACTTTTAGTTTCGTAACAATTACTTCACAGGAACCTGAAACACAATGTGAATATGTGTTGAAGGATGTAATGTTTTCCAGAAGGACACTTGCAAATAACCTTGCAGAGTTCCATCCGTATGAGACAAATCAACTCTACCTGGACATTTGCAGTATTGCAAGGACAACACTGTTGTCATATCAAACCATCATTTCTTGAGAGGAAACCTATAAAATCACGTGGTTTCTACTGTAGTGAAAATCACCATGATCATTGCCTGGATACATGCAATCCCTCAAACTCAGAGGGTTTGCCATACATTTTCCCTAATACATGAAAAGCAAAGACTCATGGTTTCTAGAATTGATACAGGTTCTATGATTTCTTTCCTGAACCCCTGCAAAAAAATCATGGAAAGGGCGAGAAAGAGGTGCTTGGGGCACTGTCATCACTTACCTATGCACATGATGATCAGATGTGCTGTGCTGTGCTTTTGTCCCACACCAGCTCTTGCCTTGATGCCAGCAATGTCCCACCTTTTACAGACTCCTTGATTACCTTTCACAGACTCACTACGATGCCTTGACTTGGATCAGAAAAACACATTGTGGAAAATGCATTTGATATTGTGGAAAATGCGTTTGGTAAATATCTTCAGATACTTGAACACCTGCAAAGTCCTTTGGTCACTTGTATCATTTCAGGACCCATCCAAGCAACCTGGATGCCTGCTCAATTCCAAGTTCAAACTATGGTAAGAAACTCCTTCATCTCTTGAAGACATACCTGCAAAATGACCAATAACCTGGTGATAGACAAGACCATAAATTACCTGGATACCTGCATATTCATCTGTTGCTCTGAGTGATGAATATGCATTATCTCTAAATAAGAATACAGGAGAATCTTATGTTTACTAGTATTGTTAAGAACTAATTCTCTAACTACACACATGCCAAAAACAATGTTAATATATGTGTCTTAAGGATATCATTAACTGCTCAGATATCTGAAAATCAGAAGGTCTCTCATGAGTCAATGTCATATCATCACTTACCTGGACACCAGCAATGTCTCCTGTTAACAAACATATTTAGGTACTTTGCGATCTCTGGACAGGCATCTGAAAAGCATAATTTGAGATACATGTCGAAGAACACAACCTTTTCTATCAGGATGCCTGAAAATAACCTTGATCACTGCCATCATGCAGAAACCATTAACTACCTGAATATCTGAAGTACTCCAAGGAAGTGCCATTGTCAGATAAGAACATCGTTTCCCGACCACACTCTCAAAATTCCCATGGATACTACTGGAGGAGGAACACCACGATAGTTACCTAGATATGTGCAGTTCTTCATCACTAAAAGGGTTGAGCATACATTCTCTACAGAAGAAAAAAGTGAAAATTCATGGTTCCTCCAATTGTTAAGGGCTATCTCGTACTTAGCAGAATAGTTGTGATAAACATATAGCCAAAAAAATGTGACACCATCATCACCTATATACATGAAGATCAGATGGCCTAAGATCAGATGGCCTGTGCTGTGGTTTAGGCTCATATCAGCACTTACCTGGGCACCAGTTGAATTCCTGTGAATGACCATTTTGAAGTTCATCATGTTCTCTGGACTGAAACCTGAAGAACAAATTGCTACCAATGTTCCTATGCACACAATTTTTTGCACCTAAACATCTATGGTCAAGTTGGTGGCTTCCTCCATGGCAGGACCCATCAACTCTACCTGATTACTTGTAGCATTCTATGGTCTGCACTACTGTTAGTGAAAACACATTCTGTTCACTGCACACTTCCAGAAGTCCCGGGGTTACATCTGAGAAGCAGGACATCATAAGAATTACGTAGATACCTGCAAATCCAACACTCACTAGGCTGAACATAAGTTTACATTAATATATAAAACAAACTTAACATAGTTAATAGTAATAGTAAGGAGATTATCATTTCGTACCTGAATACTTTAAAAAATCCAAAAACTGACAACAATAAGTAGAGGCCAACACCACCACTATGGCTCACATCATCACTTACCTGGACACCAGCAACGTCCCATGTTAACCACCATCTTTAGGTTCCCCGTGCTCTCTTGACAGGAACCTGAAAAAAACTTTAGAAAATACATGTTAAAGGACACAATTTATTTTCTATGAGGATGCTGTCAACTAACCTTAGTTAATTCCAGTATTACTGGATGTACTGACTCTACTTGAATATTTGTAGTACACCAAGGTAAACACCATTTTAGAAAAGACCATAATTTCTTGATTGGATAACTGCAAAGATTCCATGGTTACGAATGTGGTGGAAAGCACAATGAGAATTACTGTGACAATCCCTCAATACTCACGAAGTTATACAAATTTTCCCTAAAATGTGAAAAGAAAGAACTCATGGATTCTATTACTAGTAAGAACTTTTCATCACTGAATACATAAAGAAAAAAGAAACAAACACAGTAACGAGTATTTGGGACATCATTAATCACTTACCTAGATACAGGAAAATCAAGTAGATGTGCTGGGATTTAAACTTACCACATCAGTTACCTATATTCCAGCAGTGTCCCACATCAACTACCATTATTGGGCTCACCATAATCTTCTGACAGAATCCTGAAACACACATTATGAAAAATGTTATATTTGATATACATCTGATTATACCTGGTCACCTGCACATTCCCCTGGTCATTTCTGTCATTTTGGGATCCATCAACATTACTTGAACACTTGCAGAACTCCAATGTCAAAATCTAGTAAGAGACACTTTCCTCTCTTAAATGGATACCTGCAGAAATCCCATGGTCATTCTGTGGTGATGAAAAATATGATAAATTAGCTGGATACCTACAGGTCCATCTAACACTATGATTATTAAATACACATTAGCTTACATAAGAATACAGTAAAATCACTCATGCTTATTTGTACTGTTAGAAAAAATTAATTTCTTCTATGAAAACCAGCCAAAAAATAAGATTAGTATCAGAGTTGTCAACACCATCCTTAATTACCTGTATATCTGAAAATAGGAAGGTCTCTACTATATAAAAGTCGCATTAGTTCTTACTTCTATACTAGTAAAGCCATTGCCTGATAGCTGAAAATAAAAACATGGTAATACTAGTACTAGGGACAGCATCATCACTGACCTAGGTATGTGAAGATTAGATGTTCTGTAGTGTGAAAGACCCACATCAACACCTACCATGTTAACAGCCATTGTTAGGTTCACCACCATCTTTTGACAGGAATTTGAAAAACACATTTCGAAATATGTGTGAAAAGACACTTTTTACAGCATGATGCTTGCCAATAACTTTTGTCACTTCCATCATTATGGGACATATACACTCTAGCTGGACATTTGTAGTACTCCAGGTCAACAATGTTGCCAGATGAAACCATTCTTTCTTGACTGGATATCTGCAAAAATCCGATGGTTACTACTGTGGTGAGGAACACCATGAAAATTATCTGGATACGGCAATGACTCAACATCCACAGGATTAAAGATAAATTTTCCAAAATATGTAAAACTAAGAACTCATGGTTCCTAACATTGGTAAGGACTATGGTTTCTTATCTCAGTATCTTCAAAATAAACAAGCAAGCAAAAGTGTTAGGGGCACTTTGATCACTTACCTTCTTATATGAAGGTCAAATGTTTTCAGCTGTGCATTAAGCACACCTCATCACTTACCAGACACTCATAATGTCCACCATTAATGGCCATTGTTAAGCTCACTATAATCTCATGAAAGGAGCCTGAAAAGCATATTGTGAAAAATGTGTTTAAAACATCTCTTATACTACCTGGACACCTGCAAATACCCTTGATCACTTCTTTTTGTGACTCATCAATGCTACCTGGATAGTTCCAAAGGTGTGAAGTTAAACCCTAATAAAGACACCTCTCTCCTTTGAAGAAATACCTGCCAAAATCCAGCGGTCACTAGTGAGGTGATAGACAGTGTGATATCTTACCTGGATACCTGCAGGTTTCTCGACTGCTACTAGGGTTAAGTACAAATTAGCACTAAACAAGAATACAGAAAATCGCACGCTTATTCTTATTAGTGGAGCAAGTTCATTTCTTCCCTGCAAAACTATACCAAACCAGGTAACTATTACAGGTTTGATCACCATCATCAATTTCCTAGATATCTGAAATTCGGGTCTCTAGTGTATAAATGCCACATCATTTCTCACCTTTATATTAGTACTGTCCTTACCTGAACGCCTGTTTATAAAAACAACATTCTTGTAACCACAGTATTACAGGCACCATCAACGCTTACCTAGATAACTGAAATCTGAAGCTCTCTAAAGTGTAAAGGCTCACACCATCTTTTCCCTCTCTTTTAGCTAAGTCCGTGTTCACTATCATTGTTAGTTTCAGCATCATCCACTGACAGCACCTAAAAAAAAACCCCATGAAGGCAGCCATGGTTAGAGATATGTCTTTTTCTACCTAGACCATGCAACATCTCATGAGAATCACTAGCAGTAGGAGAACCATCAACTTCACCTTGATACTTGCAGAATATCAAGGTCAAAACCATGGATATGTCATAATCACTTGACTCGGTACCTGTAAAAATACCATGGTCAATACTGAGATGAGAAACACTATGAAAATTGACTTGGAAACTTACAAATCCCTCAGTCTTAGCCAGATTTCAAAACATTACCTCTGAACTAGTAAGCAGTAAGGGTGTATTCTTAAATGGGAATTATGGGAACATTATAATTTCTTACCTGAATATCTGCAAAACCCCAAAAAACACGGTAACACAAATGTTAGAGGTATCATCATCACTTATGTAAATTTCTGAAGGTCAGAATGTCTTCTGTGTGATAAGACTGACATCACCAGTTGCCTGGATACCAGCAAAGCTTCATGTTAATCCCATTGTTAGGGTTACTTTGATCTTTAGATTGAAACCTGAAAAAACACATTGCGCCAGATGTGTTTAAGAATGCAACTTTTTCTAGCAGAACATCTGCAAATTAACTTTTGTCACTTCCATCTTTACAAACTCATTAATGCTACCTAGATATTGGCAGAACCTGAAGGTCAACACATTGGTACAGGCACCATCATTTATTGTCTGGGCATCGATAAAAATCTCATGGTCATTACTGTTTTGACGAAAGTTATGATCACTTGCCAGATACCTGAAAATTTCTCATTCACTCCTAAGGTTAAACACACAATATCTCTAAACCAGAAAACTGGTTAAGCTAAGTCTCATGGATTCCAATACTTATTGGTAGAGCCAGTATCTTTTTTTTTTTTACCTGAATACCTGCAAAACACATGATACCAACACATGTTGAGGACATCATCACTTACCGAGATGTCTGAAGAGCAGATGGTCTGTACTATGTTTAAGGTCCACATAATCACTTAGCCAGATTCCATGAAATGCCTACAAAAATGACCAATATGAGTTTCACCATTATCTCTTGATAGGAGCCTGCAAAACCATATGGCAGCAGTGGTGGTTAGGGATACATCTTCTACATGGACCTCAAAAAATCCCACGGTGACTAGTATTGTTACGGGAACCATGAACTCTACCTGAATCCTAAGGTTCTGAGGCCAATGCTGTAGTTAGAGACACCATTATCTCTTGACTACCTGCTGAGAAAACATATGGTGGTAACCCTGGTCAGGATGCATGTCCTTCCATCTGGCCCCCTGCTCATTCCGTGCATACACTCACTACGATCATTAGGGCATCACTAAGTGTACTTGGACACTTAGAGAAGTCCAAGGTCAACACAGTAGTTTCACACACTGTCTATTCACTGGACACCTGCAAAAATCCTATAGTTACTACTGTGGTAAGGGACTCTGTGATATCCTACCTGGATGCCTGCTATATCTTTGTCACTACTAAGTTTGAGAGAGATTGTCTCTGAACTAGAAAACAGTAAAATCTAATGGTTACTACTTTTGTTGGGCACACACATTTCTTATCTGAACACCTATAAAAACACATGGATGTGAAAAGAGTTCAGGACATCTTCATCAGTTTTCTAGATGTCTGAAGATCATTTGGTCACTAATGTTTTTAAGGCCCACATCATCTCTAACTAGGATACCAGCAAAGTCCCATCTTCATTGCTACCGTGAGTTTTGTTGTCATCTATTGAGTGGAACCTTCAAAATTCCATGGCTATTACTGTGGTCAGTGACATCAAAACTTACCCAGAGACTTCCAAAATCCCATGATGTCTGTTTGGTTAAAGCCCATGTTATTTCTTTCCCAGTTATCTGCCAAATCTTCTGTTTAGTACTGTGGTAAATTTCACCTTTATTCACTTACTAAAACCATGCTGACAACCATAATTAAAGAGACATTATATTTTATAGGACATCTGAAAATCAATGGGCACTGCCATGGTTCAAGTCACCATTATCCCCTATGGGATGACTCCAAAATCCCATATTCACTTTAGGTTTACCATCAGGTCTTGACTAGATACTGGCAAAACCACCTTGGTCACAATAGTGCTTTGTGACATATCATCTCTTACTTAAATACCTACAGACACCCATGGTCTTCATAAGGTTTGAAAACCTAACACCTATTTCATGGCTATCTACAAACTGCCCAGATAACTGCCATAGCTGGGCATATAACATGTTCCCGCATATACACAAAAACTCACGGTTAGAATCAACATGGATTTCATCTTTCATGAAAAACAAGAAGGCTTTCTTTGTGCTCAGCACTGCCTGAACAATCTGCTGCAAGGAGAATATTTTAGCCCTGTGGAATTAGCTTCAATTGCACATCAGCTAGATGAAGAAGAGAGGATGAGAATGGCAGAAGGAGGAGTCACTAGTGAAGACTATCGCGCATTTTTACAGCAGCCTTCAGAAAACATGGATGATAGCGGCTTCTTCTCCATCCAGGTAATATGCAATGCCTTGAAGTTCTGGGGTTTAGAGGTCATCCATTTCAATAATCCTGAATATCAGAAGCTCGGGATTGATCCTATAAATGAACGATCTTTTATATGTAATTATAAACAACACTGGTTTACTATTAGAAAATTCGGAAAACACTGGTTTAACTTGAATTCTCTCTTGGCGGGTCCAGAATTAATATCAGATACAGGCCTTGCAAATTTCTTGACTCAACTGCAACAGGAAGCATATTCTGTATTTGTTGTTAAGGGGGATCTGCCAGACTGTGAAGCTGACCAACTGCTGCAAATCATCAGTGTTGAAGAGATGGACAGACCAAAACTTAATGGAAAAAAATTAGCCAAAGAAAAAGACCATAGAGTCTATAAAACAATTCTTGAAAAAGTGTCAGAAGAAAGTGATGAGTCTGGAACATCAGACCAAGAAGAGCAGGATTTTCAGAGGGCCCTGGAACTAAGTCGCCAAGAAACCAATAAAGAAGATGAAGATCTCCGCAGGGCTATTGAACTAAGCATGCAAGGTAGTTCCAGAAACACATCGCAAGATCTTCCAAAGACATCATGTGGAACTCCTGCTTCGGAAGAGCCAAAGAAAATAAAAGACTATTTTGAAAAGCATCGGCAGGAACAGAAGCAGCAGCAACAACAGTCAGATCCGCCAGGTCACAGTTCATATCTACACGAAAGGCCAACAACAAGTTCGAGAGCAATTGAGAGTGATCTCAGGGATGACATCAATGAAGACATAGTACAGGCCACTGTCGACACTGTTTTAGAAATTATGAGAAAGAATCTGAAAATCAAGGGAGAAAAATAATGCCTTTAAAAATAATTTAGTCATACTTTCCAAGATTATCCTGTGCGATCATATTGTAGGATCTATTTTGGTCATCCGTCAAATAGATGAGGAAATAAGGCTTTTAGATGGTCTGCAAACAAAATGGTGAGAGAGATGTGGGACTAAATAATGACTGTTCAACTAGTAGCCAAGGAGACATTCAGCAATTAATTAAATTTAAAATAGCTTTCAAAATGTTCCTTTGGTTTTTTTTGTTTTTTTGTTTTTTGGGGTTTTTTTAGTGTGCAATATCTAATGTGTCTAAAGTTGAGGCATTTTTTGTGAATCTTTTTGTATACTAACTAATTAGCTCTTGCCATAGAACTTTTTCCATATGGTCTCTTCTATTGTAGGTAATGTGGCTCATTTTGGTTGCTTTTATTTCTCATGAACCAATTTAACCTTTCAGGAAAGTGTCTCTTGTCTGTGTTGATCATAGTAATGGTTTTAGAAGGATAAACAGTTTGCCTTCCAACTATGTACTGTGCACTTAAGTATATTCTTATGTTATTTCTTCTGATCACAATTTCTGCTACCTGGTCCTTAATTATTTTCCACAAGTCTTTTGAAATATGGTAATATTTTTCGAGGTTTCGTTTTTTACGCCCTATGTGGTAAGATCGTTATTTCATGACTCTGGTGCCTTACTTTTTGTGGGGGGTATGGGGGGCGGGGGGTAAAGAACTGCTCTGTCGCCCAGTCTGGACTGCAGTGGCCCAACCTTGGCTCACTGCAACATCTGCCTTCTGGGTTCTAGCAATTCTCATGCCTCAGCCTCTCATGTAGCTGGGACTATGGGCATGTGCCAGGACGCCTGGCTAAGTTGTGTATTTTTAATAGAGATGGTGTTTCACTATGTTGGCCAGGCTGGTCTCGAACTCCTGACCTCAAGTGATGTGTCCGCCTCGGCCTCCCAAAGTACAGGGATTAAGGTGTGAGCCATCGGGCCGGCTGCTGGTGCATTCCTATAGCCTGAAATCAGCCCTGCACAAATATTTGAGAATGAGCAACTTTTTAAATGTGAAAAAAAAAATGGTTACATCAAGATTTCAGGACATATTGTTTATGTAGATATCTAAAGAATAATATGGTCTGTAATATGTTTAAGGACCACATCATGTCTTATCTAGGTATCAATAATTCCCATGTTTGCGCCTACTGTTAAATTCATCACCACCTATTGACTACAACCTGCAAAATCCCATGGTTAGGGACACCATGATCACTTATTTAGAAATCCCTAAAATCTAATCATGTCCATTTGGTTAAAGCCCACATTATTTCTTTCCTCAATTCCTGCTAAATCTTCTGTTCATAAGAGTGGTTAAGATTGTCTTCATTATATTGCTGGAATTTGCAAAAAAAAAAAAAAAAAAAAAAAAAAGCCATAGGGACAACCATAATCAGACACACACCAACTATTACCAAGATATGGGCACTACCAGTGGGCATTACCACGGCTTAGGCCAACATCATTTCCCACTGGGTATCTTCAAAAACTTATATTCACCGGAGCTTTAAGTGAGATACTTGTAAAATACCTTGGCACTTGGTTACAACTTGTGACACATCATCTCTCATGTTGATACCTACAGAATACCATCAGGTTGACCAGATACAGAAATACCTACCAGACATGGAGACCTACAAATTACCCAAATTAAATAAACATCATTTATTTCCTGGGTAACTGTAAAATGCCTTGGGACTACCATTTCTAGTTTTGCAAATAACTTAATTGGTTATCTGCAAAAACTCATGGTCACCACATTTTTAGAGACACCATCGTATCTTCTCTGGCAGCTTGCAAAATCAGATGTGTAGAAGACACATGTGTAGAAGGACACAGGGTTTTCCATAGCACTCCTACAAAGAACCTTGATGATTTCCATCTTTTTGGGACATACCCACTTGACCTGGATACTTGTAGTAATCTCAGGTCGATCGTGATAGCAGCACACCACCGTTTCCCGACTGCACACCTGTAGACATCCTAGGGGCAGCATGGGGGCAGGGAATACAGTGATAAACACCTGGCTCCCTGCAATCCCTCAACACTCACGGGTTTCAGCATACACTTTTGTTGAAACAGAAAATGGGAAAACCTGGCCTATCTGGGAATGGTAAGGACTCAATCACTTGTCACCTGAGTACCTGTGAAAGAAATCACAGTGGGAAGACGTGTAGGGACACACCACTACTGAACTGGGTCTCTGTGACAGTCCCACGGTGAGGGTTGTGGTTTAGGCCTGCATCAGCACTTACCTCAGCCAGACACTATCTCAAAAAAAAGAAAAAAATAGACAACATGATAGTCTAACATGCAACACATAGATAAAGCCAGACCTCTTAGCTGGATACTTATAAAATACCCTGGCTACAGTAGTGGCAGTACTTACACTTTGTGACATGTCATCTCTCATGTGGATACCTACAGAAGGCCATGTGTTCTACCAGATTTGGAAAAACCTACCATACATGGGGACCTACAAATTACTCAGATTAAATGCCATCGCTAGGGACACATCATTTCTTTCGTGGCTAACTGCTGAGTACCTTGGTACTATCATTTCTAGTAACACATTATTCCTTGATTGGATCCGACAGTCACCACATTTTTAGACACCATCATCTCTTACCCGGTGACTTGCAAAATTCCTTATTCACTGGAGTGGCAGGGTCACCATCATCTCTTAATTACTGACTGACAAAATGACATTATAACTTTCATGGTTAAGGGGACCATCTTCTCTTTACTAGGACCCTGACAAACCTCATGGTCATTTTGGGGTTAGGTTCGCCACTACATCCAGAATACCACAAAATGCCATGTTCACTCACATGGGAAGGGACATCATCAGCTCCGAGGTGCCTACCTCACAAAATCCAATTTTGATACTCGAATTAGGGTCACCATCCAGCCTTATCCGGATGTGTAGAAAATACCATGGTCACCCACACAATCAGGTTTACCATTTCTTACCTTTATAACTTCAGTATCCCATGTTCACTTCTTAAGTAGAAACACTTATTTCTTACCTGGATATTTATAAAATCCCACAGACATTACCATGGATATGGCCACTGTCATCTTTTCATTCTATAGCTACAAAATCCCATGGGCACTATCATGGTTATGGACACGTCCATCATCTGTTTCTTGGATTCCTTGAAAATATCATAGTCACTGCAATGATAAGAGCCATGATCATCTCATACCTGAATTCCTACCAAATACAATAATCCGTGATTCTCGTGGAGAGACCTCAAGGCTGTCCTCATGCTCTGACTTCTGCCTGCCTGAATCTGAAATCACATATGTGACTAATGTGTCTATGGACACTGCTTTAACACCAGAATCCTGCAAGCCACCTGCTCACTATCATCATTGTAGGAGCCAAAAATCTACCAGGATGCTTGTGGGCCCTCCAAGGTCTAGGCCATTGTAGGACACGCCACTTTCCCTGGCCGGCTTCCCTGTAACTCCACCGAAGAAACTCCTGTGATGCACAGTGCCACGTGGGTTCCCTGGGTATGTGCCAATCAATCTGCACTCACAGAGTACATACATCTTACATTCTCTCTAGGACAGTTACCAATAAGGTCACATGGTGAGGAGAATGGGGAGTCACTACTCTTCCTTTCCATAATAGCCGTTAGCCCATCACATGGTAAACTGTTCAGGCAAAGGAACCTCACTTACCTAGATAGGTGGAGATCGCCTGGTCTGTGGCGAGTTTACTGCGAACACCATCACTAACCAGACAGCAGACATGTCCCCTGATGGTGATTCCTTTTTGTCAGGATTTCCTCCAGGGAACCTGAAAAACATATACAGACATATGCCTCAGAAACACACAAGATGCCGTACCAGGACACCTGCAAATCATGATGCTCACATCCATCATTCAATGACTCTTACCAGGATGCTGGTGGGGCCCATCTGGCTCAGGGCCGTGGCTCCAGAAAATAGCATTTCTCTCTACAGAACACCTG